CATTCTCTTACCCACGATGCCCTTGATATTTGGAATTGCTAGAAGAACTAGACTGTGCCGGCCACAGACCATTCTGATGGGGCCAAAGAAGGCCCCAGACAACACTGGAGAAAAATGTAGAGCAAACAATGAAATCATAAATGATTAAATCGCAATCATTTGATTAAATCAAAAGACTCGATGTCTAGTTTGACAGAGACCAGTGGAAGTCATGATACTGTGGCCCTTCATCATTCTTCAAAGTTGGAGTTGCACCCAAGTTTGCCCCGCCAGGGATCTCCTTGGAACCAAGCCAGAGAAGGGTCTAGGAAGTGGACACTCATGCTCACGAGAACATACTCTTCAGAGTCATGACCCTCCGAGACCAAAGGGGCAGTGTTTGCCCCAAAACACAGCTCAGCAGGCAGCCAGGGGCCAGAAAGAGGATGAATGGATTTGGGTTAAGGAAGCAGGATGTGGAAAGGATTACAATGAGAGAATTACAACAAATGCCATGAAACAATATGTGTATAAATGAATGATGGAAAAACTACTTTGCTGTGTAAACTTTCAACCAAACTACACACACACACACAAAGTCTGGGTCTGGGGCTCTGTCACATACTTTTCTTTCTCATTCTCTCTCCATTCCATATATCACATCGTTCAGCACACATGCTTCTTCCTGATAGTACTCGCTGGACATCTCCACTGCAAGTCAGATTATTGCCTCGCACCTGATGCACACAAATGATTCCAACCTCCTTCTCCTCAGCTCAGGGCTCTCACCCAAATGTCTCCACACCTGTCTTTGACAGTGCCACTTATCTGCCACCAATGCCTCCTCATCCTTCACAGAACCTGTTCCCTAAACCAGAACCTTCTTGTTAAAACTATCTGCCAGATACCCTGTCCTCTCAGGTCCCTTCTCCTCCCACCTAGAACCCTGAAGGCTGTCTTGACTCTGTCTCTAAGGTCCACCCCTTTCAGCTACTTTGATCTTGTGCTTTTAAAAAGCTGCGTAGCTTGATGGATGTAACGGAAGGGCAAAATAGCAAACACAACGTTACACATGACTTTATACCAATAGCTACCCCTCTCCCACAAAGGAGTGTAAGGAGGCTGACACCACTTAACTACATTCAAACGCCTCATGGGATTCCTTCTTGTGGTTGGAAGGCTCAGGGTGATGGCTTCGCGGAGCTCTTCAGTCTGCTGGCCCAATACCAGTTTCAGCTACTGCTGCAGTCTCCACTTCGGTGAGTAGTTGCCTAAGGTCTTAAAAGCTGCCCAGCAGCCACCCAAAACGCAACTGCTCTTGATTCACCGATCAGGATCAGTGGAGGAAGGAGACCCAGGAATGGGAGAAGAAACGAGACTTCTGGTCTACTCGCCTCCATGAACTCCAAGGTGCTTAGCCTAGAGACGAGAACTGGAGGGTCGCTGGCTACCGTTACTAAGTGTTCTGATGAAGGATTCAATAGATAAGTCCTTATCAAAAGAGGGAAATATGAGACAGAATTTCACATTTCTTACCAAATCTCAACTGATTGGATCTACTGAAACTGAAGAATTATGCAAATTTGTCTGAGAAATTGAAAAGAATTGAAAGCATTCATTGAAGTAAACTCTAAACTCACCTAGTCAGCAATGTTTGCCAGGAGAACTGCACACGTTTAAACTGGCAATTACACTGGCAATGGTAATGCCAGAGCACACGTGAGCGGACGGTGGTGCGTCTCCATCAACAGTGGTGGGAAGATGTGGGTACAGAGAACGGGAATGGCAATGCGACGTGAGGAATGCGATCAAGGGTACTGAACTGTGCATGTGGAAACTAAAGAGGGCTGAATATTCTGTTGTGCATCTTTTCACCAACATCAAATAAAAAGTTACACATTAGAAACAAACACTAAACCCTATAATTTCATAAAAGACATGGCAAAAGCTCATTATGACAGCTTGCGAATGCCTCCACAACCTATAACCCACTGTGTCGACTCATTTCTCGTTCTAGAAGCTCGCCCCAGACGCAGTTCAGTCTCTGTTCCCCGCAATGCAACCTGACCTTTCTGACCACCGTTTCTCTGCTCAGGCTGCATCCATGTCCTCAACAAACACCTCTCAGAACTTAGACCCTCTGCCTATCAAACCTCTATTGTGCTAATCAAAATTGCTTCCTTTAAATACTATGGGGAAAAAACCTTTCTCCCTTGTAAATTACAGGATATATAGATAGACTTGCTTACATTGAATGGTAAAAATAATGGATAAAAAGAGTTTAATGTACGATCTCAACAGGCAGCTCAATGAGTTGTAAAGTATAATTAGGAAATGTGAAGACTTAGAGAGTCCAAAAGGAAAAATATGCTTGGCATTTCTCAAGCTGAAAGGAAGGAAGGAAAAACACACGCCTTGAACTGCAGTACTATGGGATACTATGGTACTCCTGTGGGCAAAATACTGACTGACGCGGGATGCATCACAAGACAGATGGAATCCACAGTCACTATCACACACACACACACACACACACACACACACACAATGGGTCCACATTCAAACATTCAAAGAGGTAATGCATGGTCAAGAACCAATGGTATTTTCAGACAGTTGGGTTAAAATGTAATAACTTAATATCTGATCTCCCTTTTGACACAATTTAAAGCTGTTCCAGTTTAAAGAAGATGAAAAAGGAATGAAGGGGAAATACATGAGGATTAAGGCCCCTGTAAATCCCCTCTGACCACAGACGAAGAGTGTGAATGGCTTTGCTATCATGCAGAACACATTGGAAAGTGGATCGTTACAGATGCAATTAAGATGAAATTTAATGCCCTACCATTTGCTCTCCCTTATGATCCATTTAAATTTGTTATAGTTTTTAGTATTCTCTGCTTTCTTTTCAACTGAGGTTTTTATCTGATTTACTTTATTGTTTGTTTGGTTGATCTTTTAAAATGTTTTGCTGTATGTGAAATCCAAGATAGGTAATTCTATAGACACAGTAACTAAAGGAATGGTTCCTTAGGGGTGTGGCAAGGGAGTTTGGGAGGAAATGGGAAGCTAATAATGATGAGTACAAGAATGAAAAAAATGTTCTAAAACCAACTCTGGTGATGATTATACAACTCTTTAAGATGTGACTGAACTACTGAATTGTATGCTCTCTGAATTCTATGACAATGAAACTGTTGAAAAACAAGCAAACAACGGTGCTGAAGGAAGAAGTCCAGGCTTCACTGAAGGCACTGGCCAAAAGTAATGCTCCAGGAATTGGTGGAATACCTCCGGAGACGTTTCAGCCATACGGAGACCATGCTGGAGGTGCTCCTCAACTATGACAAGAAATTTGGAAGACAGCTACCTTAGCAGCCAACTGGAAGAGATCTGTATTCATACTCGTTCTAAAGAAAGGGAACCCAACTGAAGGCAAAAAGGATCAAACAATATCATTAATATCACACACAAGCAAAATCTTGCTAAAGGTATTTTTCAAATGGTTGTAGCAATACATTGACAGGGAACAGCCAGAAATTCAAACTGCATTCAGAAGAGGACATGGGAAGAAAAAATTTCACTGCTAATAGAGGATGGATCTTAATTGAAAACAGAGGGCAACGGAAAAATGTTTACTCGTATTTTATTGGCTCTGCAAACTGTGTGGATCCTAACACATTAAGAAGAGCATTTCCAAGAATGGGGGTTCCAGAGCACTTCACTGGGCTCCTGCAGAACCTGCACATATGCCAACTGGAGGCTGTTCAAACTGAGCCAGTGGACACTGTGTGGTGCAGAACCAGGAAAGTGATGTTCCTGTCACAGGTCTATCTTTGTACCATGCTTACTCCATCTGCATGCAGAGTACTAACGTCAGAAACTGGAAACGGAAGACCTCGGCCCCGGGACTGCAGGAAGAGACATACGCAGATAGCACAACCTTGCTTGCTGAAGGGAAAGCAAACTTGAAGCAACTTACTGATGGAGATCAAGGACTACAGCCGCCGGTACGCGTTCCACCTCATTACAACGAAAACAAAGTCCTCACAATTGGACCTTTAGTAAGCAGCCGCAGGCACCGGGAGAAACGGCTACAGTTTTCAGGGATTTCATCTGATGTGGATCCACAACAGACATTCATGGAAACATAAGTCTGGGACTCAAATGATGCCCTCACTGCACTGGGCAAGTGTGGTGCCAAAGCCCTCTCGGGAGCGTCAAAGAGCGCAGGGCGGAAAAGACTGAATAGAGCATGCGCTGCATAGGAATGAACAAGCCTATCTTGGGATAAGTACAGCCGGAATGCTCCTTAAAAGCCAGGAGAGTGAGACTTCATCTCGGGGACCCTGGACATGTTCTCCGGGGCAGCAGTGTCTGGAGAAGGACATCGTGCCCGATTGGTGAGAAAAGGAGCACACGCCACGAGGTGGACTGCACCAGTGGGCTCAAGCCTAAGGACTACGCGGATGACACGAAACGGGGCAGTGATTCCTTGTGCGGTCCACAGGGTGCTGAGTCAGAACCCACTCAACGGAACCTAAAAGCCGAACACTCTAAAATCACAATCGCCCTCCCTAATGCCTGCTTTCCTTTCCACTGTTTTGTTTACATGGTTTAAAAGAACACCGGTTCTGGGGCACAATGACTTTCCAAAGGTAAATATTTTGTGACAAATGACATGATTGCCCCATTTTCTCTAAATATCCTCCCAATTATGAAACTGCATTTACCAGCAATCCTCTTCCCAGATTGCATCAAAATGAAAACATAAAATCACCCACTAGGACAACTGTGCTCGGTACATTGACAACAGGTTTTAAAAAACACCCAAACAAAACCCACGCAGCTGGGTGATGCTGCAGCACATGCCGGTTACCTCGCCCCGGCCTAGAACAACGAGACGGCCTAGAACAACGAGACGGCAACAGCAACGAAATGAAGCCAAATGGAAACAATTCCATCTCGCTGGCTTCTCGGCTGCTGGCAAAGACAAACCAGGCAAGGCGAATAAACACCTCTACCTTGCAGATGACAAGGAACATCGTATTCAATCTCCTCGTGTCTCGATGGGCTCAGGAAGAGAGTTCCGTCCACCAGTGGGAACTGTTCGAACACCGGGAGGGCTCGGTGGCACAGCGCGCAGTTCACGACATTCCGATGGCTGGCGCTGAGCGCCGCCAGGATGAACTTGCGCAGATCCTCGCCCTGGCCCACCTGGGCGTCGTCTTCCATGCGCACGTGGAAAGTGTTCAGCTTGTGCCTGGGGATGTGCGCCAGCAGCTCAGACAGATCCAGGCGCCGCAGGAACTGCACGGGCGCGTCAAAGTGTGCCCCCCGGTGGACCGACAGCCCCACGGGGCCGTAATCCAAGTGGGCACTTCGGAACACGTGGCCCGCGGGCATGGCCTTTTTGTGAGGCTCGAGGTGGATGGCGTTCTTTAAGAACTCCCCGAGGTACCTGGAGGAGCGGGGGCCGCTGAAGTGGGCAGGGGAGAGGATGGAGTAGCCGGTGGGTGGAGACTGGCCGGGGGAGGCACAGGGGGAGCGGGCACCGTAGGCCGCCGCGCTGGCAGCTTTCTCCTGGGAGTTCTGCCGGTCCATGGAATGCCGCCGGGGCAACTCGTGGTTCAGGCCTTTGGAGGGCTTGTTCAGGGCTCTGCACTTTTTCGCCTCCTCCCCCGCCTCCCCGGGGGGCTTCCCTGTGTTTTTCTCTGTCCCCGCGGATTTCTTCTTTCTCTCATCCTGCATCCGCTTCACCTGGTACCAGTCCGTGTCCTTCTTCAGGTGGCCCTGCCCACAGCGGCAGGAGCAGAAGCGGAAGGCCAGGTCGTAACCCTTCTTGGTCCACATGTTCTGGCGGCACTGCTTCTCGTTCCAGCTGCGCGCCCGGCCAATGCAGTTGAACTGGACCAGGATGCTGCTCTCCCACTCGTAGAAGCACTGCAGGTGCATCCAGCTGCTGCAGGGGCACTGCTCGCTGTTGCACACCACCTTCTGGTAGTCGTCCTTCTCCAGGTCCACCGGCCGCCCAAAGCTGCAGATCAGGGGCGTGGCACAGGGGGCTTCTGAGGAGGAACACAAGAGAGAGATGTCAGCACCCACAGCGCGGGGAGCCCAGCTGACACCAGGCCAGAGATCCAGGCCAGCAACACCCCCCCCCCTCCCCGGAGCCCATGCCAGCCAAAAGTTCCAGCCTTCTGGTGTCGAGTCCTGCCGCCGGGATGACCGCCAGAGAAGACTAGAAAGCATCTGTCTGATCTTGGTGTGGCGTCGTGCTGAGATTTACTTTCTGCTACTTGTGACAGGCCAGAAGCGGCACAGAGTTCCAATCCTTCACAGGGCAACCAGCTCGGCGTCAGGACCTCCCACCATATAGTGTGAGGTTTTTCTAAGATGTGGGCCTAATGACAGGAGAGCTCCGGCGTGCCTTTCAAACCGAGTCATTCCAGCCAACGAGAAAAGAATGTGATGAAGCTACTGCACCAAGCAGTTTCTCTTCTGGAGACAGCCACCACACTTGCTGGTATCACAAGGCCTTGTATCGTGGGGCTTAGACTGTCCTCAATGCCACAGGGAAGCCAGACATAGGCCTGCCACATTTCTAATTCTCTTCCATTGTTCGATAGATATCTAGTGGCCCGGGTGTTCATCAACTTAAGGATTGGTCTGCACAGAATTACACTGCCAGGGTGAGGAGGGAGAGGGAGAGGAGGGAAGGTCAAGGGGGGAGGTGGGGGGGGGGGGGGGGGGGGGGGGGGGGGGGGGGGGGTGGGGGGGGGGGGGGAGAAGGGAGAGGGAGAGGGAGAGAGACATGTTCCCACAGCCACCAGGTCAGAAAGCAGCAGCGGTGAGCTTTTCCTGCCCTCTGTTAAACACATGGCCCACGAGCGCTCCCCAAAGCCTGGCAGGTTCCCAAAGAGGGAAAGAAAGCAGGGTGACACAAGAGATCCCATTTCTGAACCACAGACCTGGATCCTGGAAACTTTTCAGTGATCACTACCTGACCGCCGGGCTCATAAGCAAACTGCCAAACAGGTAGAGGTGAAGACCCAGCCCCACTGAACTCCGGCTGCCTTATCGGCAGAGCAGCCACGTCACTGCTAACTCCTCGATGTCCTCAACAGCAAAATGGCTACAATGATGGATGCCACCTCACCGAGTTTTTTGTGGAAAATGAGAGATGCCTTGGGCTTTAGAAGCGCGCTGCTCCGGCGGCCAGGTGGAATGTTCCAGTCCAGCCCAGGACCCCGTCCTTTGTGAGAGGGACTGTGCCATGCAGCGGCTGCGGGCCCAAGCCAGAGACAGAAAGGGGGCCAAGCCCATGGCCCCCATGTAGGGCTGGATCTGGAGAGTGGAAGGCAGGCAGGGCAGGGCAGGAAGGCCATCTGAGGCAACAGCCCGGACCTACACTGGGGTGTCACTGTGACCCACAAGTGCCTCCCTTAGTTGGGGGTTTCCTTGGCTTTTGAAGAACTGTGCAAAATCCCGGCCACTCCCCTAAAGTTCCTCTCATCCATGTGATTTTATCATTCTTCATTTTCCGGTTCTTTCTCTAGCTTCTCTTTACTTCCCATGCCTGTAATGAAGTACTCTCCCAAGGACTGGGTCCTTGGCATTTCCCCCTTTATGGCTCAAGACGGGAGCTAGACTCTAACTGCAGCATTTCTTAGTGGGGCATGACTGGTATTTGGAAGAGCCCTGTGTGTTAAGCATCACTGGACCCTGGGCACAAGTTATCTGTCGGTCCTCAAGCACCCAACCTTCCCACGGTGGTAATCCCAAGTACTCCCTCTGGAGGACAGGCCTGCTCCCAGTAGGAGTCACTAGTCTTGCTCAAGAAGGTTCCCGGTGACATATGCAGGAGCTTATACAATACATACATGCAGCTATACATAAGCAGCTAAAGGAGACCACTAGGCCCCACGCTCCCACAGTCGAGTTGTCTCAGAAGCTTCACCTGAGTGTCGGTGTGGGGTATGAACCTGGAAGCTCCAGGTGGAGGGAGCTTCAACCACACGGGTGAGAAATAACAAGTCACGGAACAAGTGAGTGCGCCAGATGACTCGGGGTTCCTTGGGGTGCAGGCTGATGGGCAGTGATAACAGGAGGGCAGGTTACATAAAAAGAAGACATCAGGGTAGCCCTATTTTTAACCTGAGTTGAAAGCATTTATATCCAACATAGAACTGGAAAAGACAGGTGCTCAAGACAAAAGACACACACAAAGCAGACATTTCTACAAAGAAGATACACAAACAGCCAATAAGTCATGACGAAAACATGAATCAAGTCCACAATAAAATACCACTTTCTATCGACTAGGGCCACTGTGATCGGGAAAACAGGCACTCACACGTACCGCAGGAAAGGTATGGGGCTCTTTGGAAATTGTGTGCATTGTTGGTGGGAATTTTAAATGGTGCAGCCACTATGGAAAAGTTTGCCAGATTTTCCAAAAGCTAAATATAGAAACACCATCTGACCCAGCAATGGAAAATCCTGAGTTTGTACCCAAAAGACTTGAAAATAGGGATCAAGCATGTATGCATACATCAATGTCCATTGAGGCATTACTCAATAGCCAAAGATGGAACCCGGTGTGCACCTGTAGACAAATAAACAAGTAAAATATGGTGTATACACATAATGGGATATTACAGAGTAACTTTAAAAACATTATGCTGAGTTAAAAGGGGGGGCAGACACAAAAGGACAAACATTGTGGTAGGATTCTCTCATATTTGAAAATTTAGAATAAACAGATGCAAAGAGGCCAGCATAGATAAGTGGTTACCAGGGGCTAGAAAGAGGAGGGGAATGCAAGTTACTGCTGAGGGGTTCATGTCTCTATGTGGGGTGATATAGCCAGTTTAAAAACATGCAGTGGTAATAACTGTACCGCAGGGTCAATGTACTGAATGTCATGGATCGTTCCTTTAAAGCGGAGGGAACAAGAGAAAGAGAGAGCTAGAGCTACAAATACAGACACAGAGTCACTCGTCCCCAAATGGAAACTAATCCTAGGGCTGATCTGAGAGAGCGAGCGAGAGAGAGCGCGCCTGAGAAGACACTGAGGAGCAGGCAGAGACCAAGACTGGGGGGAGTGGAGCCCTGCAAAGCACCATTCAAAGCCCGGCTCAGCAGAGTTCACCAGAGACTGGGAAGCAATGGACTGAGAAGACAAGTCAGCAAAGAATCGTGTCAAGGGACGCGGGTGGGTGTTTCAGAATGGAGACGTGTCAGTCATAAAAAGGGCAGGCACACAGTCTGACAGAGATAGCTCTGGGAATATGGCCCTCAGGCACCCTTCCGGCCATACAGCAGGCCTATAAAGGGAGCCCTCCCACCGGGACGTGTGCACTCATATACCGAACTCATGGAGCAGTCTCTGCCCACGGACAAGGCTCAGAAGGCAGGAGGGAAATGTAAGCCCGGGGATCGTGGGAAGAGTGCTGCTTGCTCCTCGAGAGGAATGCAACTGGTGTCCCAAAACAAGATGTGTGCGATTGGCTGAATGTAAACCTGCACACAAATCACTGTAAAAGAATCCAGCAGAATGGCTCTGAAGCTTACATGAGTATGTCCAGGACCACAAAAAAATGGATGGACAACATTGGGCACCTGGTTGTTCTGGTTACTAAACACCTGGCATTTCTTAGATCCACCGTTTCAGATCAAGTCTTATAAAATACAATGTAAATTGTACTTTTTACTCATCAAATGGTGAAGGTGTTTTCACTGGCATTTGACACATCTAAAGTGAAGCTCAGTAAAGGCATTCATTCCCCAGGGATAGAAGAGAAAGGGTTTTTCCCTGTGTCTAAAATAAAAGCAGCCCCCATCTGTTCTCTCTCATAGGCGTGCATGTGCGCACTGCAAATTCTAAATGCCAAGTAAGTATCTATTAATACTTGATTAATAAAAATTAACTACATGTCATAAATTGAATTTGTCCCCCAGATTACATGTCAGCTTGGCTGGGCCATGACTGTCGGTGGTTTGGCAATTTTGCTATGACGTAATCCCCCCATGATGTCATCTGATGTGATCAGCCCTTCCGTTTTAAGATGATTAGGTTGGGATACAACACAAATGGGAAACAATGAAGATGTAAAGCAGCGGGTCTCAACTGGGTGTCGAACGACCCTTTCACAGGGGTCACCTGATTCCTAACAGTAGCAAAATGACAGTGATGATGCAGCAACGAAAATGATTTTATGGTTGAGGGGTCACCACAACATGAGTAACTATATTAAAGGGTCACGGCATCAGGAAGGTTGAGAACCACTGATGTAAAGGCTTTGAGTCCTCAGACTGGTCTCAGGGCGCAATCAGCTGTTTGGGGTTGTCTGCTGCCCTGATCCCCTCCTCTTGCGCTGCAGTGCATTAAAGTCCTGGCGGCTTAGGCTTTGAGGGCTGGCCACACCCCCACTCATAGTGGCTGACATGTACACAGCCCGGCTGGGAGCAGGTGTGGGCTCTTCCTCCCGGGTCGAGTCTTTGAAGGCAGCCGAGCAGGTGTGGATTACAGGCAGCAAGCGGGTGGGATGTGGGCAAAACGAGGGCCCCCTCCATGCACACGGGCAGCTGGAGCTGCTTCACCGGTCTCTATCTGCACAGAGCCAGAGTGCAGGAAGTGCCCAGTAGTGGGTGATGCCATCGTGACAGCTTTTGCAGACATAAAGGAGGAGTCCCTCTGCCCCCATTTTAGCATCCTTTCCTTTAATATGGTAACACTCTGTAAAGAAATATCATCACATTAGTCTCGGCATTAAAAGAGTATTCACTCTTTTAATCCTGTGCGTCTCAAACCTGAGTTAGGCCATCCATGAACTTGAGTGCATTAGCCCTGGGTTAAGGTCAGTGAGCGTGCTAACTGCCACTGCCTTCCATAGACATTCCCTTCAAGGCTCTTCCTCGAAAAGGCTTGAGGATAAAAAAGCAACTGAACTTTGTTTAATTGAATAATTAACATTTTAAAGGACACCAAAGGTCGCAGCTTGGGGGACTGCAGTTAATTGACTGAGTTTACACAACTCTTCTTTCCCCTTCATGGGGCACACCACAGAGCTCAGGCTCTTCCTGCTGGGCATCCTGCTGACCTGCCCTGTGGGTCTGATGTACTGGGGTCCTGTGGATGCAACTTTATTCAGCACCGGTTCAGTGCACGGCCCAGCCGGGTCCAGTGGTGCTAGGAGCAGAAAGATGAGAAACAGGTGTTGGCTCTCGAGCTGTGACCCAGGGAGATGTGACAAAGGACTTCACTACTTTCCCCAGTTAGGATTCTACTGACCTCTACAAAGCAGAGGCTAGGACCACTCTGCAAGATTCCACATTCCTTCATTCTTAAAAAAAAAAATAGCAAACAGAAATGTACTCTCAAAGTGTAGACGAGAAATCCAAATTTGGAGTGTTGGCTCCAGGGGAGGGCATTCAGTTCTCTACTAGTTTTACGTAAAACAAAAACAAACTCACTGCCAGGGAGGGATGGTGACTCACTGTGTCCTGAAAGGGCAGGGTAGACCTGCCCTGTGTGGTTCCAAGACTATAACTCTTTATCTCCTTCCAACATGTGTGTGCACAGGGTCCTTGGGGATCTTCATGTGTCATGGTATCAATGTCCCCCTGAAAAAGTTGATTGCCCCTCATTCTGCCCTCACCCCTCCTGCCGTGCTGTTATCAGCACCTGCTCAGCCACCTTCAAAGACTCCATAGGGGAAGAAGAGCTCAAGTCTGCTCCCAGCCTGGCTGTTTACATGTCAGCCACTATGAGTGGGGGTGTGGCCAGCCCTCAAAGACAAAGACTGAGCAACCAGGACTTATAGGAGTTATAGGCACTGCAGCCCAAGAGGTGAGGCTGAGGGGGGTAGGCAACTCCAAACAGCTAATTGCATCCCTGAGACCAGTCTGGGGACTCCCAGCAAAGCCTGTACCTCTCAAACAGCCTCCACCTCTGTGGGAGAAAGATGAGGCTTTTATTCCTGTAAGGCTGTGGTTCTCAACCTGTGGGTCACGATCCCTTTGGGGGTAGAACGACCCTTTAATAGGGGTTGCCTGATTCCTAACATTTATGAAGTAGTGACGAAATAATTTTATGGTTGGGGGGAACACAACATGAGGAATTGTATTAAAGGGTTGTGGCATCAGGAAGGTTGAGAACCACTGCTGTAAGGAGTTAACAATCTCAGAAACCCTCTGTCCTAAACCTATGTCCTGTAGCTGTAAGTCAGAATTGGACTCTCAAGGGCAGTGAGGTTTTTTTCCTCCCCAGTTGGAGGCTAACTGCTCCAGTTCCTACATGTTTCAGCTAATGTTTCAGAATACAACAGGTGTTTAGATATTAAATAAAATGTTGCATAATGTCAGGCCTCATTTCTAACTCCCAAGCCTTATAGTTAATCAAAATATACAGGAAAAGATTTTATAACTATTCACAACATTATTGGCAACCAAAATCAAACCTATAGGAAATGAGCAGGATTGTAGTCTGATTTGATGGCTTTGGGAAAGTGATCTCTAACGTTACAAAACCCCTGGGTCCCACCAAGGCACGTTTGCAAGACGGACTCAGCAGACATAAAGAAATCTCTGAGGCGGGGCGGGGAGGAGACACCAC